TTGAAAAAAGGGGAGATTGTGTCACCTTAGACACGGCGATCCGGCATCGTGGCTAGAGGCACGGTGTTCTAACCTAACTCTTGGCACCAGCTTGTGAGAGAATAATGAGATCATATCGTATTTTTGACTGGGTGCATTTTTGTACGTTTTTATGTTAATAAAGAGTTTAAAGGAAGATTTACTTTATTAGTGTTATCCATTCGCATAACACAACAGTATATGCTAAGTATTTAAGTTTAGCATATACTAGATACCCTAATACAGGGTGTTTCAATAATATTGAAGTTCTACGTACTCCCCACCTCTAGAGAATACGCAAAGAGAATAACTACTTAACATTTAGATCACCTAAATATCCTGTTCTTTTTTTTACTTATCAGCTATGACTTCCTCTCTACGACAACGCTGCCTTCTCTGCTGCTGCTGCTGCTGCTTCAACTGCTGCTTCAGCCACTGCTACAGCTGCTTCTTGTTGATGAAATAAGATAATAGAAAAAAAAAAAACAAAGGGAATCAGACAGAACTCCAAGGTAACAACGGTTTATTTTCCTAATAAATAAAAGAAAAATACATTTTAAACATCTCTTTTTTTTTAAGTCTCATTTAATATTTACGGTTAATTTTGAAAACCTCCAGTTAAAGAGAATTCTTATTTGCCCCTGACATTAAGTACAAAATAAATTTAAGTGTTACACAGCATGACTTACGTAAAATAATAAGGTGTGGAAATTTATTTATCCCTCGTAAAACATCAGTAAAATATTTTATACATTGTTTTCATTCACAAATATTAATTTTTTTTAAATCTAACAGAGGCGTCACTTTCAAGACGAAAATTTTTGCAATGTAAGGGTTTCGTAGTAGCTCACTTTTAAAGTTTACTTTTGACTATTTTTAAAATAAAAAAATATGTACGTGTAGGCAAAAGTTAAATCTATGCTCCTTTGGCACCACTCTATCAAAATTCGATTTAGTTTCTTCTAAAAAAATTGAGAAAAAACAGATTCAAATTTTGAAAGTGTTTGAAAAATTTTAAAAGTGGGGTACTATGAAACCCTTGCATGCTCTGCTCTAAAGCCAAGTAAATACCTCTCTTACCTGAAACGAAAGCAAAACTTCTTAGGAAAATCTAACTTTAAATATACATTTAATAAGGACAGCTTAAAAAAAAATAACAAGAATAAAATGATTATGTAGATATTTACAATATTCTATTTAAAACCATAGACATCATACTTTTAAAACTTATTTAAAATGTTTAAAAATGTCTGTCCGAACAGACTGCAACCATCAGAGCCATCTATTACTGAAAACGTAAACCATTCCTGATATTGATTAGTAGATTAAAATGTAAAGTTAACTTCTCGGTTTTTAAATAATCTGGAACTTAGTTTTTTAAAGATGGATAGATGGCTTTAGTTGTTACTACAGTATGAAAATATTAGTTTTGTAACTGAGTTTTTCAAGCTTATTAACAATAGGTACCAATCGGTAATTTGTATCTGAAACCCTACTGTTAAAAGAAACTTTAGTTAAAGATGACTTTTGTTGGGGTGTATACACTTTAACCAAAGACAAATAGGTACCTAACAAGACCAAACTTAAAACAAGTAAAGTTAAGTTTCATGTGGAGTGGGGTGAGTATTATAATTTTTACCTAAGTTAAATTTTACATACAATTAGGTATAACCAATATTAACTCAATATCAACATTTGAATGGCACTAACTAATTTTTTGGTACACAAATTTACGCTTAAAGATAAAAATACGAGTTACCCCAATTGGTACTAATTAGTTCCCAGTTTGATACTTAAGTTTTATATGAAATAAAATGAAGTATTTTCTTACTAAATAAACCAGTATATTTCCTAATATCTATTTTATAATATTAAAATTAAAACTAGAACTATTTTCTTTGTTTAAAACTGTTTTGTTTTCAGGCACCAAAACACAGAAGAAAAAGGTTAATTAAGGATATAGTCCGATATTAACCGACTACTAACTACAAGTAACCAGGATTTTGTGACAGCGGTTCCTGAAGAAAACTAATTAGGCATTCCAACGACCTGTCAAACAATAGGTACCAGTGGGAAATTCTTGTATATTTAAGGGGGTAGCGACATAATCTTGCAACTTGGACGCTATTTTTATTCGAAGTAGTAGTCGCCAAGCCTGCAATTCTTTTGTTTGGAATGCCTAATTCTTTGTTACATTTGGACCACGACCGAGATATACGTCCACATACTTTGATTTTCTTTTACTATACGGAGAATGGTCGCACTGCGCAGCTTTCTGAGTGCCTTTTAAAAGGAGATAGAAAACTCCGCCATTTTGAACCCTTATTACGTGTTGCCTACATCTTGGCGGAATATTTTTAATAGGTGCGTTTTAATCATCCGCTTCTGCTTCGGAATTGTCGGTTTTCTTGTTTTAATCTGACAGGTTAGAACGACTGAACCGACAATTACGGAAGCAGAAGCGGATGATTAAAACGCACCTGATATTTTGCTTGCTGCTGTTAGCGTCGGTGAATATTATTTTTGAAGTCACAATTTATTGCTAAAGAATCAGTTAGCTCACTCGGACCAGTTGAAAGTTCCAAAATAACATCCACTCCAGGGATACAAATTCAGGATACGCAGAAGACTGCTGTTTTATTATAGGCGGTTGTCATGTATTGTATTATCCGAGTTGCACAGTGTATAAACTGAAACATTGAGATCCAAAGTGCCGACGCAGAGTGAGCGATCTAATTCCTTAGCTCTAAAATGTGTCACAGGGTTCAAAATGGCCGCGCCCTATGTTGGGCGTGTCGGACCTCTCTCTTGCCTCGTATAGTAATCAAAGTATGTGTATACGTCACTTTTGTGACAGATTGACATTCGACTTGATAGTAACCGTAAAAATCTTAGAACATGAGGTAAAAATGTAGCGGTTAGTGAACTGACGTTTGAGTCACCATTTTCAGGTAACCGCGTCACCAATTTAACCGATTTTTCAGGAATGTCAAGCAGAACGGTTAATTTTGGACCGAGTAACTGATATTTCGGTGAATAACGGATCATACCCTAAAATAAACCAAAACAAAAAGGAAAAATCTTACCTGCAGTAGTGAGCCACTCTTCGTGCTGTGATCGAATAAGAAAGTATGTATCTACCAACCAGGTGAGAGAAACAATTCGGTGTAGGTATAGGTCCAAATCTAGTTAATCGTCCTTCGACGCAAGGGAGCTCTACTTTAGAAAGTGTAACGGTAAGTCGCAACTCAAATTAAAATTGGAAAAATGAAAAAGGTTTGAATTTAAATGAGTTCTCTAAATTCAATAAAAGAAATGCCACAATACAAGATTTTATGAAATTAGAGTGATTTAATGTAATGCTAAAAATCTTATATTTGCTACTAAAACTGTTACAAAAACATTTTCGTTTTATCTACATAAATGAAAACAACTGCTCTTGCCACATTTCAAATTGGTGGAATTGTGACCTCATCCAACTTCATTTTGTGTATGGCCTTTACTTTTTGGTTGATCGCCATAACCCAACGTCTATTTCTTCGACAATTTCAATATTAATTTAATTTCGCCATATCCAATTCCTGGTGAAATAACAATTTTATAATTTAGAGGTTCCGGTTAAATAACAACACTCATTCGTATGTTACTATTATTTATTTCGAACAGGAACATACAAAATTTTAAATCCCCTGTACAACTGCAGGACGAAATCATTACAAAATGTGTGAGATGAACTGCACGCGCTACCACCTGGTTGCGTAGGATTAAAACTGCATCGTTTATCCAGTAATACCAACTTAAGGCCCAACTACTACTCCAACTCAATTTTGTTTGACATATTATCACGATTTTTTTTAGGTTAGAAAACTTTCATTATCGATTTGTCAACAAATATGTAACACGATGAATTTATAAAACGTAGGTCAGTATGTAGCGACAACTAACGGCAACGCTGTCAGGCCATTATATTATTGGAAAATAATAATTTAATGTTTCGATTGAGTTAAATTAAATATCAAAATTAAATTTGTTTATTTTTAAGTAAACGACATTTTTAAATCTATACGTCTTCAATCAAAAATAATATAGGCTAATACTCAAGTGTATACGAGTGAACTGAACAAGAGATAATTTTAAACTTTACTCGAGTTTTTTGTATTAAACCATCGACCATTGTAATGAAACCAGCGGTAAAATAGATATTTGTGTACCAAGGCTGTGTTTTGGCCGAATTAGACATTTGTGTCCAAGGCTAAACGACTTCTGGTTAAGTTTAAGAGTAATAGGCAAGAAACGGATGTTCAATCAAACGTGACATCGAGATAGATGTCACATAAGCAGGTGTAGGTGTAGAAGATGAACTTTGCATCAGATAGGTATAATAATAATACTACTCTTCCTAATTCACTCCCTTGAACCCATTTTTGAAAATAATTTTTGAAAATATCGTTCAGAGCTGTATTTTTTGTGATAAAAAAGTTGCCGTCACTTGTCATTGACAACGCGTTGAACTTGGCCTTAAGCCATGGTTATACTGAACTTTTCCCCTCTTAAATTTACACTTACCTAACAGGTTATAATACAACTTTAAATTCAAACATATTTAACACATTTTTAAATTACTCTTACTACGCCTAGGCGTACACTGATCATTAATTACCACAATATCATTATTAGAATTATCTACCACCTCGTTACTTACATTACTACTGTTATCAAAAGTACTATTATTGCAATATTTATTTCTTGTCCATTGTTATCAACATGAATTTCCTCATCTTTTAGTTTAAATAAACTGAAATCTATAAATTTGATTAATATGTCTTTTCCAGATTTTGTCCAGTGATGGAACATAAACTAAATAACTTATAGCTTTAACCCAATTTCGCTTATTTACTAACCTATAGTCTCTTACAACTACATTTTCATTAACACTATATATCCTGTTCATTTCCCTCCTGTAAAATTTAATCTGTGCTTTCTGTTTCTTTTCAACATTTTCCTTAATCTCATCTAGTTTATCACTATTCTTAAAACTAATATTTACATGATTCCCATAACATGATTCCCATTACTAAAAATACCAAGCCAGGTACAAACAAAATGAATAAAGACCTCACTAGAAAGACTTCCATGCCACCGATCGTCATCGAAGACAACCATAATTCTTTAAAGAAAGACCTCCAAAATAATGTAAAGGGTAGATACACCCTAAAATACACTAACAACTCCACAATAATATACGTCGAGGAACAAAACGACTACAAAGAATTAATTAGCAGTGTCAATGAATCTAAAATTTCATACCACACGAGCAGAAATGAGAAATCCCATGCATTCGTGCTAAGGGGATTAACAACGGGAATCACCACTGAACAGATCGAGGAAGATATCATGCATGCCTATGACATCAAGGCAAGGGAAATCTACAAAATGTCAACTAAAAATAGACCCCTTTTCCTTATTACTGACCCGGCAATCACCTTAGACTTTCTCAAAAAGCATATTAGGGTGGTGAAAAACACCCGAGTGGTTTGGGAACTAAGAAAATCTACAAAAAGTATAATTCAATGCCACAATTGCCAGGCATGGGGCCATGCCACGGCAAACTGCGGACACCCTCCGAAATGTTTAAAATACGCAGAGAACCATCACACGAGAACATGCGTGTAAACTCGCGAGACGCCGGCCACCTGCGTAAATTGCTTAGGGGACCATCCGTATAATTATTTTAAGTGTACAGCCTATTTAGAAAGGGTAGACAGAATGGAAGAGAGGAAGAAGCAGCAACAGCCTCGAAGATATGTGCAGGCTCCAATCCCAGAAGGGAACGCCTGGAATAAGAAAAAGCCCAGCACTACCAGGCTAAGTCAAGAGGAATTCCCCCCCCCCCCTACTCTCACGAAGACCACCCCAACAGTACAATAAAATACCTACTAGACAGCAACAGAGCAGGCCTACCGCGAGAAATGCAGAACAAGGAACTATGGATGATATATTCGCCCTTAATGACGAATTCAACACACTTAATAGCCTTGTTAATATTTCAGAACTCACCCGAGCCGTTAGGGACCTCAATAACTCCCTAAGACAATGCAGAGACGAAAGAGACGTATAACAAGTATAAGTTTGACATCATCATACTTACAGAGATGAACCTAAAACAAACAGACAAGATTAAAATCAGAGACTTTAATATAATAAGACCAGACCGAGAAGGACAAGACAGACACAACGTAAGACAAATGGCAGCGGGAGGGGTTGCTATAATTGTCAAAAATAATCAAATGTCATAATATAATTTTCATAGGAGTGTACAACCCCCCGGCAAGGAAAATCTCAAATGCAGACATGCATGCGCTAATGTCTAAAGGTAACAGAGTTTTTCTAGCTTGAATCTAACTTGAATTGCAAACATCCCGAGTGGGACGCGAACTGTATCCACGCAAACCCTGCAGGTAATTTGTTGAGAGACTTCGCCGAAGACAACAAGCTAATAATTCACTACACGGACGAACCTACATGCACACCCTTCAACGGGGGCACCCCAAGTACACTGGACATTGCAGTCACTAAAAACTTAACTGACGTACAAAACATAAGAACAATAATTACACTAAACTTAGATCACGATCCAGTGTACTTGGAATTACGAACGACTTAGAAAATTAACAGAAGACAAAAACAGTACTACGACTACAAGACAACAAACTGGAACAAATACAGACAAAAAATTGAACAAACACTAACAATAAACAACAACATAAACAATTTACAACTTCTAGAACAAATAACACGAGAATTCAACAGTCGTACAAAAAGCTAGAGACGACTTGACAAAAATTTAAACCACTACACCACACAAAGACACGTTGCCACCCGAAATTACTGACCTCATCACAAACAAAAATCAAATACGGAAAAGGTGGCAACTACACAGGAGAGACGAAGACAGGGTAAAACTAATGGACATCGCTAAACACATTAACAGATAAACGAACATCGCAACAACATCTTGCAAAAAACCCTGTTGGAAATCAACCCGAAGGACAAATCATTGTGGGGGGTTGTGAAAAGGTACAAAAAACCCTCTTCACAACTTCCTACTTTGAAACTAGGACAAAATACACTCAACTCAAGCCTTCGGCGAGAACTTTCAAACTAATTTCCGAAATGACCAAATTAACAACGACCATCAAAATCAAATAAAGCAAATAGTAAATGAATTGGGGGCGACGGATCCAGTACATGTACCACACTCTTTCTATACCTCCCCTAAGGAGATCGAGGAAACAATTAAGTTCCTCAAAAATAGGCAAGCTCCGAGCCCGGACGACATTAGCAACATCCTAATTAAAAATCTACCTAAAAAGGGGGTTGTACAACTACACTACATAAAAATGCAATTTTCAGGCTACAACATTACCCTAGTTGCCTGAAAATTGCAAATATTATACCCATACTTAAAGCGGGTAAAAATCCCAATAGAATAGACAGTTATAGACCCATTTTGCTGTTAAACACAATTTCAAAAATAGTAGACAAAATATTACTAAATAGACTAAATAAAATAGAAGAACAACTACAAATTATCCCACAGGAACAGTACGGGTTCAGAAGTGGCCACAGCACCGTTGCACAAATCATAAGAATTGTACACAGTGCCAAAGAGACGACACATATCAACAAACAAACGGTAGTGCCATTTCCCTCGAAACCTGTCCTCCAGCACCGAAAATTATGATTTTGGGCTCATTCGATTCGGAATGGCATCTAGAACATTTTATCAAAATTCCAAGAGAAGCTGAAAAAAAATGCAAAAGTTATAAACAATGAAGTAAAATAAAAAATAAGGGTTTGGTTTTTTTGAAATATTTCAAAAACTATTTGAGATAATCGAAATTTGAAAAAAGGAGCAGGAAATATCCTAAAAAAAAGTCCTACCTCCCGGAACTGTACCAACAACCCTTATAATTTTAATTAAGCGGCGAAAATAACGGTAAAAACGCGTGGTTCGGCTGCTGCGCGCATCGCTCCAATCTGACACATGAACTAAAAAAAATATTTTAACTAATTAAATATTATAATTAGGGGATAAAAAAATTTGGGTACTAAGTAGACATATGAATAAACAATAATCCGTAAACAAAAAAATTTTATCACTATTTTTTTTATTAATTATGCTTTTGTTAATTAGTTAATTTTCACCATTTTAATGTTAACATAAAAACGCTGATTATTATAAATGCAGCATTTCGCCTTAAATATATACCTGATGCGTGGAAAATGGCTGAAGTTATCCTAATTCCTAAGCCGGGAAAACCTCTGAATGAAGTGTCGTCATATAGACCTATATCATTGTTACCGATATCTAAGTTATTTGAAAAACTGTTACTAAAACGACTAAAACCAATAATTAAAAATAAAAATCTGATCCCTTCGCACCAATTTGGTTTTAGAAACAAACACTCGACAATAGATCAAGTACACAGGATAGCCGATATCATCGAAAAAGCGTACGAAGAAAAATATATATGCTCAGCTATATTTCTTGACGTAGCCCAAGCATTTGACAAGGTCTGGCACGCTGGCCTAATACAGAAACTTGAAAAAATGCTCCCTAGACAATATGTCGACATTCTACAATCATATTTAACGGGAAGAATGTTAAGAGTGAAGAGGCATACTCCGACATGAAAGAAATTAAAGTAGGTGTCCCACAAGGCAGTGTGCTAGGACCGGTTCTTTATTTATTATACACCAGCGATATCCCTCAACAAAAATCTGTTAAAATAGCAACATTTGCAGATGACACTGCAATATTGGCAGTTGGCGGAACTAATACAGAGACCTCAGAAAAACTTCAGGAAACCTGCAACAGAATTAATCGATGGACAAAAAAATGGAAAATAAAAATAAATCAAACTAAATCAGTGCATGTTGATTTTACTCTTCGACCAAATGAACAAAAACAAATAAGAATAAACAATGACGTTATTCCGCATCACGATTCGGCCAAATACCTAGGGATGAACCTAGATGTAAGACTTAAATGGAAAGAGCACATAAAAAAAGCGTAAAGATCTTGAACTTAAATTCAAAAAAATGTATTGGCTCCTAGGAAGAAAATCCAAATTGTCAGTGCACAATAGAGTAGTGAACATTATCTATATTTATAGGTCTAGTATAGAGAACATTATGTAAAATATTTTTAAATAATCGGTGTACCCCATGCTCAACAACAAACTTCTGATTTATAAACAAATCCTAAAACCAATCTGGATTTATGGCATACAGCTATGAGGATGTGACAACAAGAATAATATCAACATGATAAAAGTTTTTCAAAATAAAGTCCTAAGATGCATTGTTGATGCACCTTGGTTCTACCGGAACGATTATTTTCATAGAGACCTGAAGATGCCAGCAATCGAAGAAGAAATAAAGAGGTTTGCTGCGAACATGAGGGTCGACTCCACTCCCACGTCAACGAAGAAGCGTTGCAACTACTGGACAAATCTACACTCAACAGAAGGCTCAAAAGAGGAAGCCATTTGAGCTAGTGCAGTGAACGTTAATGTTAGTGCTAGTGTAAAACAGTGTAATGGGGACTTCTTAGATACGTAATTAGTTTGTAAGATTTTTAGATTAAAATTGTAGGTTAGTCAGTAATGACTAGTAACAATATTCTAACAAAAAAAAATATGCCGCCAATTTACGTAGACAGTTGGTGGCATAGGAAAGCTTTTTTATTACTAATTTTAGGACAAAAAGTTGTTCTATATAAAAAGTCGAGCATGATCTAAAACCTAAAATACAACCATCAAATATCAAATTTTATCAGTCTTATAAAGAATAAAGGTACTTTATTCTTGAGTAAAACTCATATTTTTTGACAAACCTTGTATACCACTGAAAAAAATTGATTTTTTATAACTGTATTCTAGGTTTTAGATAATGCAGAACTTATTATGAGGAACAACTTTTTTTCCTAAAATGAATAATTAAAAAGTTTTCCATATGATTCCAACTTAGGGGATATACTGTATATCTAGCTGAAATTTTAAATGTTTTGCATTAACCAAAATTCTAATTATCTAAATTGAAATTAAACATATGAACAATAACATCATTGTCAGAGTCATTTGATGTATTAACATATTCCTCAGTATTTGGCAACTCTAAAAAACTATTTCTATATTTATGACAAACTTTAGCAATTTGTCCTTTATTTTTACATATAAAAATAATTCTTAAAAAGACACCTTTGAAATGATTAGACCTTTCACAGACCTCACATTATCTATTTGTGTTATGTTGTCAGCTGTCGAAGAATAAAAACAACTAAATTTTAATGGATACTTTCTGTCTGATATTTGTAATAAAAGTTTCTCTGATAAGTGCATGAATTCTAAATTAAATATTTACATTTACAATACCTTCACAATCTAAATTAAAACGAATCTGGGTTGTAAGAACTGAGTTGGCATCTTTACTTTAAAATTAATTTCTTGAAGGATGGATGCTTAACTTGACCGAGAGAATAAGACGATAAATCAGACAGCCGTAGATCGCAGGATCGAATACTATCGGTGATTTCGGATTTTGTTTCGATGATTCTTTGCTATGTCTTCACTCTTGTCGGTTGAGGAATTAATTCCCAAATTTTTATA